TAGCAGAATTTTTTGATTACAGTTGAGGCTGTCTCCACAGAATAGTTGAGCGGGTTATTCAGTCTTCTGACTTAGTCAACTTATGCTGGGTTATTTTTGGTCAGTGCCTTGACTCTTCCATCTTAAATGACCCAATGCGTTTGATTCTCCCATCTTACTGATATTACTAAGCAAATTAATGCAAATTCTTGTGATCTGTTCTGAGTGTAGGCATTTTATTACTCCAAACAATTTACACGCTTTAAAGTCACAAAATGTAGAATATTTACATCTTCTGTTCATGTAAATGATCTACAAAATCTGTTGGCTCTTCTGTGTGACTCCTCCCACTGGTATTGAGAGCTTATTAGAAGTTGTTTGAGCAAAGTGTATTCTGTATGCAATGACTTGGTCAACTGAAATGATCGTGTGACTTCATTTTTATTTTCTGGAGCACATTGCAAAGTAATAACAGAATGCTGTATAATAAGTATTAGCCCTCACAGTTGATAGTAAGGCTGCCATCCTTAGTATTGACTTGCATAAATGGCGAGGATCAATTAATTTCTAATGTCCTCGATACAGGCTTAATAACGGTAATAAAAGATTGGACCTGCTGTTTGTTAATGGTAGGCATTGATCAGCACGTGCTCTGCCACATGTTTTAAATGAAATGTTTCATGTGTATATAGGTTGCAGAATTTAATAACTCAATAAATATGTTCCTAATAGAAGGTTAAGACAGAAGTGCATCAGTTTTGCAGTCCTTTTTATCTTATTTTTTTTATTTGTATTAACTTGTATGCTTGGTGCTCATAGACATTGTGCAAATATTGAGTTTAGAATTAAATTTAAGATAGGCACAAGCATTAAGTGATTGGTATTAATCAGCAGATTTTTTTTTAGATAAAATTTAATTAATTTTGATATTTTATAATAAAGGGGAATCATTTCACATATTTCTGTAAGACCAGGTGCTTGAAGGGAAAATGTGCTGTTGTCTTTTAGTACAATTATATCAGTAACTGGCCCAAACTGTAATTTTTCTTTGGTGACTTAAAATTCATGCTGCTGCATCACTCATTTACAGCAGTTGATGTGTCATATCATTAAAATCAGCAACTTCTAAAGTACTGGCAGTGGTGATGAGCACTTTTCTTAAAATATTATGCAGCGATTCCCATTGCCTCTCATTATTAGTTTTCAGGATTTTTGAACCTGGCTAAATTCCATCCTCCTTGCTAGAGATCATGTGTTATTGTATCCGTTAGTCATCGGTTCAGTGTAAAAGTCTGCCACCAGTTTACAGTAACAAACCATATATTAATTAATACATGTCTGTAATGTTTTACGATGCTGTTAATGGGTAAATTGGGGGTAGTTGTGATATATAAATCTGTGAAAGCGCAGAGCTGTGTAGATAGTATAACTAATCTTCTTATGGGTCTGTTGAGCACACCTAATCATCATTGTGGATTATTCCAAGTATTCTGTGTGTTTTAAAAGTGTGTTGCCCTACGGTTAGCAATCCTAGGACACTCAGTGATAACATTAATGTTGTAGTGAATCGAATTTAATCTTGGAAAATTAACCATATTTTTGGAGTTAAAACAGAGATATTGATGACGAAATGTTTGGGGAGGGGGGATAAACTTACCTCAACCTGTAGTATAGTAGTTTTTTTGCTGGTGTGTTTTAATCATTCGAGGTGGATCCAACAGGTTCTGACTGTTGTTTAATTGTTTTACAGTATCACAGTAGCCTTGTAATTTTTTATGTTTGAATTAAAAATTTGTTAATGTAACTCCCCCTTTTGTCTTAGATTTTAAATTGTAGTAACGTACTGATGGTTGTTTAATTCGTTTTCAGTTGTATAAAAGAATTTGTATTGAGAGTGGATAGATTTTTGCCACCTTTTCATGTAATTGATTTGTGAATGTATCAGTTTTATTTTTTCTAGTGTCAGGAAATAGTGTAATAGATTTCCTGTGTATGGGAAAGCCTTAAATGTATTACAAGTTCAGAAATATTGCGCACTATTTTTTTTAAGTAGTTGCAGGGATTGTAGAAACACATTATTGTATTATAAGTGCACAGTTTAGTTGTAACTGTAATTAATCTGTGTAACATGAATTGCCTTATTAATATGCAGTGTAATGTATTTGTGGGTTTTTGGGTCTCCAGCACTGAAATTACTGTGAAGTGTACGCGTGATTCTCGTTTATTATCAGTGTTTATAGATCGGTGATCGAAGACGTATGTACGATGCTCTCCACTGGATTCTTTATGTTCTAGAACAGATTTTGTAGTTTGTACCAAAGACACAAAATAATGTTCCTTCCT